TTTTCCTTCTCTCTCTCTCTCTCTCTCTCTCTCTTACGCTCTTTTTCTCTCCAACGTGGAACGAGTGATTACGAAAGTTGAGTGTTTCAATGACTGATCGTGATTACGAGTAATAAAAACTGATTAATTTTTTTTCTATTTTTTTTTTTTTTCATTTTGACCCACTTCGTCTGATCGTTTTATTCCACAAAATTGCATATAATCTTCTTCTCGAGCTGATTATATTTGCGGTAATATACTATGGTTATAACAATTTATCGTATAATTTACACGGGGAGATTATAAAGGATAAAGAGAAGTTTTTTTCAATCTAGACACTATAATAGATTACTGTAGATTACAGAAATAAGAATTGTCCACTTGCAATTAATATAAAAAAAAAGGAGTGTTAATATTATTTGACATTCACGAGATTTTTTTTATTAATCTTCTTAATATTTAATCGATATATCAAATCTTATACCACTAAATACGAATAATTCTTGTTTCATAATTATTCAACAATTCTATTATATTCTACCAACAAATTACATTACATATCATAAAATCACCAAAAAATGAACATTTCCTGTTTTCCCCTTCACCCTTCATATAAATAGAAATATACATAGTTTTATCACCTGATACTTTTATAAACTGATAACGATAGAAGAGATTAGAGAAATGATTAAGAGGATATTTAACTGAGGAGGAAAAAAAAAAATGATCGTTGAATCGTGACAGAATGATAGATTGAAGAGAAATAATTAGCTTCAGTGATACAGTTATTATTTTGTGTTGTGCGGGGCTAGATGCTGAAGGAGAAGGAGGATGTTCTTCTCACACCGAAGGCTGCGACGGTTCGACAGGTATGACTCTGCCTTCAGGTAGACAACGCGTAGAGTCACGTAGAACCGTGTAGTCCGCATGTAATACTAAAATATATACTCGTTCCGTGCTTTCAACACACGCATCAACTTGAGAATGAAGAGAAACACTTTTTTTTATCGAGGTGAAAATATCATTCAGAGTTTTAACTTAAAAGCTTAAAAGGAGAATGGCTTCGATTTTCTTGGCGAACGAGCGAATCAATGATAATAATAACTCTAAATATATATTTCGTATGTATCGAATTATTCACTGAATGCATTTCATCGTCACGAATTACATGGACAAATCAATATTAAATTTATTGTATATACATTTCAGAATACATACAAATTAGCGAGACAAAGTATTATAGGAAGAATGATGGAAAGAAATATGTTCTGTTTAATAAATATAGGATAACGTATAAGGACACTTTTTGTTCTATGAAATTTTGTAAAAGGCTAGTAGATCTTTCTTTTTCTATTTTCATGTTTTATTTTAATATTATACTTTATAAACATCGAGTTATATTAGGTAATACAGAACATGCTTTCATGCAGCGTGCTTCAATGCATGCTTTCGCTAAACATTTCACGCACCTACGCTTGTTTCGCACGACACCACTCGCAAGCACATCGTCGCAGCATTGTTATGTTGAGACTTTCAACATAAATTTCCATTACACAAGTTTCGTTAAAAAATTATAAAATATTAAACAAATTTATTCATAAATAAACTTATCACATGTTATTAATTATTATTGAAGCTAATATTAATACACCCAATTCGGTTTTTATATGATTTTATATCTTATACAAATTTCTAAAAAGTCTGTGTAAAAAAAAATATAACTGCATATAAAAAAAGAATAGTACCAGACGTGAAAACCCGATGACAATAGCTCTTAGACAAAACACAAAAAGTTTCATTTAATTTTTATTTATTTTGAATATTTTTTCATATTACAAAAGAATAAGAATAATTGAAACAATAGAAAGTACAGTGATTTCCCGACAGTGAAATCCGACATTTATGTAGCAATTTATATGCTTCATCTATTGTATTATTGGATAAATTATGATCTTAATGTCGTAAAAATTTAAATAAATTTAAATCCCTATATATTTTATATTATGACAATCGCGATCACAAGTAAAATTTAGATCTTTTCGTGTAAAAATTATGAGGAAGAATCAAAAAGTTTATCGTCGAAACTTACTCAGAAGATAGAGAAAACCATGCCATTGAAGTCTCTTTTTGTTTTATCTCGATATCTCAATCCGTTGCCGAGATATAAGGACTCAAAGTGTCCATAATGCTTAAAGCGGTGTAGCAGTTATGAATGGGGCCGCGAACCACTGACCTACATTTTTTCTTGGAAATGCGTACTATATCTTTCCAAGAATCGCGCGCTACGTTTTTCCAGGAATCGCGTCTGTCGCTTGTCTGGAGTTTGGAATAGGTCGGTGAGACGAGGTGCGAGCGAGAGGTCCGAATAAACGACAAAGACGGAAATAGTAAAGCATCAAAAATTACCCTTTTCTTTACACGACGATATCTCGGGAACCGGAACTCGTATCGAGATAAATGAAAAAGCGTTTTAAAGGGAAAGGTTCTGCGCTTCTAATGAGCTTTCATCCGTTGACCGGAAGTTATTATTTTCCGAGTTATAACGGTTCAAAGTTTTCCTAATTTTAATAGGACTTGATCAGATTTGACATAATGATTAAAAAATTACTCTTTCTTTACACGATAATATCTCGATAACCGGAAGTCGTATTGGAATAAATGAAAAAGCGTTTTAAAGAGCAAGGTTTCGCGCTTCTAATGAGCTTTCATTCGTTAACCGGAAATTATTATCTTCGGAATTATAATGGTTCAAAGTTTTCTTAATTTTTAATAAGGTTCAATCGAGTTTTAAGGCAAATAACATGGTAGATACGATTCTTTCAAAGATATTTTTTTAATTGATCATTAAAGATTATCTTTTAATTATAAAATAATAATTGTTGATAAACAAAATAAAAAATTTTTTTATTCTTGATTTTCATCTTATTTTTTAAAGAATATTAGATATGTAAGACTAAACATTCTTTATATTATTTTTAGAATTTTTTCAGATTTTAAACTTTATTAAAGTTAATCCAAATCATATAAAAACAGAATTGGGCTTATTTTCTGATTTTTAAAAATATTCATGTAATTATTAAAACAAAATTTTATCTATTGATATTCGATTAGAAAATAAAAATTAAATACTTAAATAAAATTATATCATTATTAATATATTTCAATTGTCTATTATTTAATCTCATAATCATGCTTTAATCATGACTCCAATTTTCAAAATATCAAACACACATACACATACAAATACATACAAAAATATACACGAATTATTCAATGAACTACACCCTTAACTTTTCATCTTGTGACCTGCTGGAACACTCATCTCAGTGGGAATCCCACGCCCTCCTTTATGGTTATGGCTTATCTATGTAAACTGGCTGATTGAATGAGATCTCTTTACCATTAGAGAGAATATGCTTACACAGTGATTGATATTTACTTGAAGTAGTTCTTCACTTCTTCACTTACGCGTAAAATGCTGTTTCGAGCATTTGAGGAAGATGCTGATTAGCAATATATACATATAGATTTGCTAAGTGTTTCAATTACAGCCTCTACTACACGTTACACTTTTAATGAATTTCAAGGAACGTACGTTATTTGAATGGCATAATAATTGATACGAGTTTCTTCTTCTATTTTTTATTTTCGTATCAAAACGTTTATCAAGTAATTCTTTATCGTCGATATTGTATACCTGTTGGGACTATTATTTTGATTATGTAGGTTGTTTTATAATATGAGAAAATAACATAAATGAATGAAATGTACAAATTTTAAAGCTATTTTAATTTAAAATAAAGAAGATCTAATCGAATTATACACAATTTTATTTTTTTTTTATTATGTATAATTTCATATTATGAAACAGCCTGCAATTTTCTTTATAGTTAAGTAGTATATAATTTTTCGTGGAAAAATTATTACTTAATCGCTAGAAAATTATCTGGATTGAATCATTTTTATAGAAATCTTGTATGTTCGATCAATTATTTCATTTGACTCATTTTCTGTGAATTTATTAAAATCAAAAAATCAATTTATTAAATAAAATTGATTTCATTTCATTTTATTAACGTGTACTCAGATATTCGAATATTTATATGTTATTGTCATTTCAATTCATTTTTAATCATTTCTATCATTTAAAATAATAATTTTTCCATAGATGAATTAAACATAGCTTGATAAATTGAAATACATTCATTTTTTCTTGTTTTTTCATGATGAAATATAAGCTCTGAATCCTACATAGAATTGATTTAACGTACAAGAATAAAAAATCACTCTTTTACAGGATTTTCAAAATGATTGATGCTCAATTTAATTTAATCAAACATTCGACTAACTAATTTTTTACATTTCCAGTGAATTGCTCAATATTTGGCCGGAAAAAGAAACAGTACAAGGATAAGTATCTCGCAAAACACAACGCAGTATTTGACCAGCTGGATCTGGTCACCTACGAAGAGGTCGTTAAGCTTCCCTGTAAGTAACCTAACATCATCCATTAAAATTATTATAATAATTAAATTATTATTAGTTGTTTATTTACATATTCGATTGATGTTGCTAATGAAATAACATAAATTGTGAATAAAATAAAAGGAAACATATACTTTGTTAACAAATAATTCGTGTAAATGGATGTTATTATCTTTGTATTCTGTTTTTTTATTAATATTTTTGTAATAATTTTTCCTACAGATCCTGCATTCCAACGGAAAACATTAGTATTACTGGGAGCACACGGTGTTGGTCGTCGTCAGATAAAAAATACCATTATCGCGAAGCATCCTGATAAATATGCCTATCCTATTCCACGTAAGTAAAAACAATCTCATTATTACACTTTCGACCACTATTTAGAATATAATATTGCAATCATTAACTTATTTATTTTCGTTCAATTCTTCATGAAATACTTATTTTTTTCTTTAAGAATTATTTCAGTAATTTATTTTTGATCCAATCTGAAACCATCGTTAAAATCTAAAACAAAATTAATATTTTATCAAATTTCTGAGATCACGTATTAAAATTATATCGATTTTCAGATACAACGAGGCCTCCACGGAACGACGAAGAGAATGGTCGCAATTATTACTTCATATCGCACGATGAAATGATGAACGATATCCATTCCAATGAATACCTCGAATATGGTAAGTATTCGTATCCTTATTTCAATTCATCGCATTCCACGCACGAATCTCACCGTTTCTAAATCACTGTGCAGGTACACACGAGAACGCAATGTACGGAACGAAGCTCGAGACGATCCGCAAAATTCACGAAGAAGGAAAGGTGGCGATATTGGACGTCGAGCCCCAAGCCTTGAAAGTGTTACGTACAGCAGAGTTCGCGCCTTATGTAGTTTTCATCGCTGCTCCAGTGTTCGAAAATATCACCGATGTAAGTAACGAATATCGATCGTTAACATCTTCCCCGGGGAATCGGGTTAATTATTGTCGTAAGGTCACCTAATTGAACGATTAATCGACTTTTGACGAGATTACGAAACTTCAACGCTTCCATTTAATTCGATTATTTAAATTTTCTCGCCAAGAATTACTCGGGTGACTGGGTGATAGTATCAACGAGATACATTTAGAAGATATATTTGTAATTCTTGAATTGGAAAGAAGGAAGATAGAGAATAAAGTTATAAATTAAAAATAAATTATAACAGAAATAATATAATATTTATAGAGTAATTGTAATTAGTGCTATTATAATAACATCAAAATAATATTATAATAAATAATATAATATTTTTTACAGATAGTCAAGAAAAAAACATAAAGAATATAATTGAATAGTTGAATATTCAAAAATCTAACTAGAAGATAAATGTTCTTGAACTTTTCTTTTTCTTTTCTTTTTCTTTTTTTTTTTTTTTTTATCATTCAACTAGATATTTAGGTATTTTACAATATTTCCTCAGTATCTCCACGAATCTTTAAAAAAAATTTAATTTTCTGAAATAAATTGTATCAAATATAACGATACAAAGACAACGAACATTTTAACGAATGTTCCAGTGCGACGGAAGCCTGGCAAGACTGGCGAAAGAGTCTGACTCGCTGAAGCAAGCGTACGGTCACTTTTTCGACCTGACCATCGTGAACAACGAGATAGACGAGACGATCGCGCAACTGGAGGCGGCCATCGAGCGGGTACACACGACACCCCAATGGGTACCCGTGTCCTGGGTCTACTGACAGCGAACCTCGCCAATTAGGCAGATCACTAACTGCAATGGCTCGTCGAACGTGAAACAGTGATCATCGAATCGCGATCCACCGAACGACCGGTCCGTTTGCGATCGTTTTAATGCGGCAACGATAATCTTCTCGACGTCGTGCGCCTTTAACAATTCACGGTGTTCGTGGGGGATTAGTATCGTGGCCGTTTCGAGGCGGACAGCCGCGTATAAACACGTCGGACCAATCGAACGAACGAATTTACCGTCAATTCTTCGATCGATCAACAGCACGATATCGACTGGAACGCGTGACTTTGGCCGTGTGTTCATCGACTTTTTTCATTACTATTTAATTATTCTAATTATTATTCGATCGCCGTTATTGTTATCAAGCGGAGAGTGGCGAAGAGACGAAACTGTTACATCACCGAGGCGTATAAATACGACAATCAAAAAAAAAAAAAAAAAAAAGAAAGAAGAAAAAAAAATAACAATAAAAGGAAGAAAGGCAGAGAGAGAACAGGCATTTCGATTTCGATCATTATTAATAAGCTCCATAGGATTATATATATTTGCTGCTTCCTCGAGATAAATATAAGCAATACGATTTCCACGATGTAATCTATCGTCTCGGTTAGATACATTCAACGAGTTTTAATTCAAATTAAAAAAAAAAAACCGAAGTTCATTTCCCCGCGAATTATTACTTATACACTCTCGATCGCGCAGTTTTCTCTCTCACCCTCTTCGCGCGTTCTTCCGCTTCTCTATTTCATTTTTCTCTCCATCTTATCTCTCTCTCTCTCTCTTTCTCTCTCCATTCCGTCATCTTGTTTCTTGCATTTTTCCTCCAATACATTCCTCGCGCCACGTTTTTTAGCGCGCGTACACGAATTTATCGCTAGTTTCGTCAGTCTGTACGGTCTGTGCGATAACAATGGTAAACGATGCGAAAAAAAAAAAGGAAAAAAAAGAAAAAGAAGGGATGAATCGAAAAGCAGCAACACCCTCCACTCCGCTCTTTTCGAGGATCAGACTGATCGATAAGGATCATAACGAGGGACGGTCGTTCGAACTGTTCGTGAATGTTGACCGAATGTGGACACGCTTGTTGACACCGTTCTTGAAGAAAAGAAGAAGAAGAAAAAAAATGATAAGAATCGACTATCCGTAACCTAATAATTGCCTCCCTATCGTATTCTCTTATAACTATTTACACGAAATGAAAAAAAAAAAAGAAAAAAAAAAAGGAAAAGGAAAAAAAGAAAGAAAGAAGAAAAACACTAGGACCGCGCTGTTCGATAGTCCGCCGTCTCTATCCCACCGTAAATAGTCAATCTTTGTTCGAGTTTCGAAGGAAATCGGACTATCGTAACGGCTAGTCGTTTACCTGTAACTTTTAAGCAGTAGAAGAAACTTCGCCGATTTCGTCTAGTACTTCCAACATCTAACGAAAGTTCATCTATGACCGTGAGACTCGAGATGGACCTTCGTACATGTATATGCGCGAGCGCTGTTCTTCCTTAGCCATATTTTCTTTCACTTTTCTCTCT